CTGCCAGAGCGCCTCGGCCCGGCGAACGCGGCGGACACCTAAAGGGGGTCCTTGGGAGGGGACTGCAGACGGACCGCGGGTTCGAGTCCCGGCCCCACCGGCAGCGTGGGCTGCGGCTTAAACCGTGCTCGCTTGAGGCTTTCTCTGCTAGGCTTTACTCTTCAGGGCGCATACGAGGGGGAAAGGGTGCTTTGCCTGGACCTTCAGAGAGCCGTGTTCTTCCTTTTTGCCACCAGGATAACCCCATCTGCCACGAAACGTCTGTATGGCAGGACACAGACACACAGCGGTGCTGTGCTCAGCGGGCGTGGAGCAGGACCTTGCAGTTTCGACATACCCCTCTCCATATTTATTTTTTTTTAAATACAGAAATTAATTCCTTGTTCCTCTACACTCTCACCAAAGCACCACCACGGTACTGTGATCTCACATTCACGCAGGTGAAGCAGCTGCTCCATGCCAGAAAATAGCAGCTTTCATAGAGCTAACATCCAAATCCACTGGGAGTGCCTCGGATCTGCTGGGTGCAGGCTCTTCTCCTGACTAGGCGCTGCTACAAAATTAAGGGCTAAAATACAGGATCCTGCAGTGACATTCACTTGCAGAAATCATGAAAACCAGGATCCTACTCCATATGAAAATGCCTCCCACTGATATTTTAGGCTAAATGTCTCATTTAGCCCATTTCTGCAACTCTTAAGTCACCTAGGGAGAACTAGTCTCATTGCCTCCAGCAGAGCCACACTAAAGCTTACCTTAACAGTTGTGAGGTGCATTCCTCAAATGCACAGCTTATTGACTCACTGAGATACTATAAACACACTACCAAGGGAAATGAAATAGTATAGGTTTTATCTAAAGGAGGACTGAACTCTAAAACACCACAGCACTTTTTCAAACTCGCTGAACTGGGCGTTCAGCTGCCAAGAGGAGCACCAGGTCATGCTCTTTGTTCTGAAAAGAATTGTAATAATGCAGCATTACGCACTTTGCTTTCCTGTAGTTCACCCCGAAGATGTTTGCCCTGACTGACAATTTTTAACTCGGAACACCCATGCAAAGTATGCCCGATACCTTTTTACATAAGTAAATATTACCTTTTACAGGAGATGAGGCTGAGACACAGCTAAAAGTCAACACTACGGAGAGAAGTTCCAAGCTCAGTGTCCCATTTGAGAGCATCTGACTTGGTGCATGGGAGATATAATGCCAGAGCTGCTTGCCACCTCTCCGTTGCCAAGTAATGCAGGGTGGTAGGGGTTATCTGCATCTTGGAAATCAAGACTTCCACCTTTCTCTTTACTCCGGGCAGTGGTAGCTGGCAGGGCTGCCTGTGGGCACAAGGCAAACAGGAAAGGGTGTGGTGGCAGCTGCCACATCACATGAGCTGACTGGGTGCCCACGCTGCACCCAGTGCCCATGGGTTTGTCCTCTCCCCGTAGACTTGCACCTGGCTTGAATTGTTTAAATAATTTTTCCAAAGTCAGTCAGTCGCAAAATTAAAAATAGAGCTGGGACCAGCTAAAGCCCTTTCTCAGAACTAATCAGAGCCCCTTTAAAGCTTTAAAACCACTATTATCCCCCATTCTTCCCCATTTCCTGTCTGCACCTCTTGCATCTATCCACATATTTGGCCCACCAGTTCCTCTGCGAGCCTCGGTTTACTGCTGTGAATAGCAAAGTAGTTGCAAGTGTGCCTGAACGAAGGCTGCTCTTCCAAGGTTAAATTATCCTGCATTACACTGCCTCAGCACTTTCTGTTGGAAGCCGATTTATCCTTTAAGAGCAGCCTGTCTTTCACACATCACACAAAGGGCAGGTGCATTTACTAATATGAGGGCACACAAGAACCCTTTGAACAGGAGCTGTGTGCAGCCAATGGCTAAGAACCTGCATACAACTGCTGATGCAAAATTTTTTAGTTCATTCTGTGGTCAAAACTAGGATCTCACTTGCTGTTGCTCCCTCTGTACTAATTCCTCATGTTTAATATTAGCCTTCTGGAGACACCCTCTACTGTCATCTCTCAGGCATTCAGTGGGAACCCAAGGGAGGAGGTTCAGCTTTAAGGAATGCCATGTTCCTCTTACAAATGCAGAAACGTAACTGTCTACGCCCCAAGGAGCTATCAGGGAAAGTGTAAAATTCTCCGTCAAGCTATTGTTCTTGGCTTGTTTTCACCAAAGCTGTTTTTCTCATCAAAAATAATTTATTGTTTTATATACATTCACTCAGTTTGAAGAAAAATTTCTGCCTCCTTTGTCAACATCAGCTGTTAAGAGTAGCTGTCACAGAAGTCACGGTCACTATGTTTTTCTTTCCGTTTGGAAGAAATAGAGAAAAAAAAAAAGTTATGAAATCAGCTTATAAACAGCGATCACGGCAACTCATTTATTGTATGAGTTAGATGACTGCAATGAGAAAACCTGTAATATAGTACCTTAGCCTTTGAAGAACAGAATGCATACCAACACCCTTAGCCTCGAACACATGGCTTTCAAGTTTCTGTACCTTTGTTTTCAAAGGGCTGTATGATAATGGTCCTAGAAGAAAGCCCAGGAGGAGAATAGCTGTCAGAAACAAGTTAGTAGAACGAGGTTGCATGAGGTACTGGCAGAAGATAAACTGCTTCTTCAGTTTTGTTTAGCAAAAAGGTAATTTAAAAACCCTATCAAAAGCCCCTGTGAGCCTCTACAGGGGTAAAGAGTGTTTGCCTCTATATTCTGAGGCTGCAGAGAACCACGAAGTGGGGCAGAAACTGCATGAAATCGCCTTACCCTGTCTCTGCTCTGAGCTCTTCCTAATCGAGTCATCTTAACCACTGCTACAGCTCCTTCTTCTCCTTCATGGCCTTTTCCTCTTAAGGCACACTACCGTTAAGTCAGACCTTCTCTTTTTTTAGTTACTAGGAATCTCCTGCTCTGACCTGCCCCAGGACACGCAGTCAGTATCCAGGCTCCCCCAACCCTCACAGCAGGTACTTAAAGACTAAGCAGCTTTTTTTACTGCGCCCTCACATGTCTGAGGCTACTGCGGGCCCGGCCCCTCACCCACCTCAGGCGGCTTCAGGCCCCAAGCCCGCTATGGGCCCCAACACCGCCCACCCCAGGCCCTCCGGGAGCGGGGTGGAGAGGGGCCGGAGGGAGGCCTTGGCGCTCTGGGACGGTGTGGGAGAGTGGAGGAGAGTGTTTGGGGGAGAAAAGATTGGGTCGGACTTAATGAAGAAGGGGTCTGGAACAGAAAGAAAACGCAAAGAAAGCAAAAGCCTGTTAGAGTGCTGGAGGTCCCTGTGGAAGACGAAAAGAGCGAAGTCAATGGCGAGGTAGAAGTGAAGTTGTTTCCCAGGTGAAGAAGGGTCAGTGAGAGAGGAGAGAGCACTGAAGAGGTGAGTTTGAGTGTATGGGACAACAGGGTAAAAGTAATGGAGAAATCCAGTGTATTAATGTGGTGTGAAGAGGGAAGAGAAAGCGTGGTCAGAAGTAAGGGAGTGCAAGAAGATGTTAGAGGAAAGAGAGGGTTTGTAGAAGAACCAGGAAAGCAGTGGAGAAGAGGGTGTGGAAGTAAAACCCAGAGTATCTTGGGGTATAGGATGCATACAATAATAAATGAGTGAGATGAAGAACGACCTTTCAACAGTGCCTGTTGCTCTGTCAGCCAGAATCCTCCCATCACATTTGGTATGTTCATGAATGAGGTGCCAGAGCCAAGACCAGTAGATAGTTATGAAGGATGACAGTGTACTGGTCAGTGGGGGCCTCTCTGTGGCTGCATATGAGTAAACCGAGTATAGATGTCCCTTCTAGTGACCTAGGCATCTAAGTATTTTTCTAAAACTTTGTTGTTTGTGTTTGGTGTATTGAATTTTGTCTTAATACCTGTAAGCTTAAACCATTTGTTCATAGTTTAAGAAATATCTCAGAAAGATTTGTTTGACAGGACTGATGCCTCTGTCCATATGTAGGGAGTGTTGTTGTAGTTAAGGCTTTACAGCTGTACCCTGCCTACCACAGTCAGGCCCAGAGACACTGACCTCTCC